GCTAGCAGCATCTGGTTGGTCCAATATAATCCACCCAGGCTAAGAGATATAATATTAACTACCTTTAATATTACCAAAGTTGAAACAGTATCTCAATTTATTAAACCACCCCCCTTTTAAGGTGCAGTTCCACTACATCTTAAGCCAGTAGAATTGGCTTTGGTTTTTATTGTGTATGCTTCTCAAGCAATGATAGGACAAATTATGCATGCAGAAATCTTATTTTTAACTCAAGTTCCTTAAACACATTAGCATCAAAAGTTGTTTATTCCAGGAAAATAAACAGCATTCATAGAATAGATTAAAAAAAGGAAATAAATTTCATTTCATACATAAGCTGCAAATGTGCTAGTCAGATGAGCATACCATTTTGTAACAGAAAATTTAATAATCACCATTACCACTTTTGCTGTAAGAGTTGTTTAAGTCTTGAAGAGAAATCCATTGATCTAAATTGGATGTGCTTACAAAAGATTACAAATGTAAAGCAGTTATGATCAAAGCTACCCTATAAATTGGAGAGAGTTGAAATTCTAAAACCAGCAAGATGTCAGTGTCTGGCTGGCTGGGGTCAAACAACGTTAAACAGCAGTAAAAATATTGGGCAATGATACTTCCATTAATTCTAAAACAAGAAAAGTTACATAGACATATGGCAAGTCAGTACCAGAAAAAAAACAAAAGCCTAATGTATGTTTTCTTTTTTAGATATACTGACAAAGCCACTCCTTTAGTTGGAAAAACTGCTCCAGAATTTTTATGCAGACTTACAACTTTTATGTAAGATACAAGCAATTGCTTTCAAGTGGTTTGTTTCTAAAACACTATTTGTAGCTTAGTGATTCCTAACATTCATTTTTACTGTAACTACCCTTAATAGCTGAAGACATTTGCTAGGTTTTTCGGCAATAAATAGATCTTTTCCCACCTCTAATTCTTCAGCCTGTTCTGTGGTTTCTTCTTCAGACCCATTGCTTTTAGGCAAGTAAGTCATTTTTAATCTAAGGTGGCCTTTAACTCTTGATTTATGGCTGCAGAAGAGAAAATAAAGTGTTCTTATTGTGCGCTTGTGAAATTGTTACCTGGAAATAAAATAGCTGAAAAAGCACAGCTAGAGGATTATCCTTAAGTTTCTCAACACAAACTTGGCTTTTTATAGTTTAAATTAATGAAGTTTTGTAATGGTATTGAGTTTTTAGACTTCTGAGTACACCTTGTAACACAACTGGAAACGTTTCTTTCCAACTAACTCTTCTGAAAACTTCCCTACTATGCAATGCATAACAATAAAGAACAAGAAAATAAGAACAATGACAATTTAATTCATATAATTATAATAATTTGACTGTGTGTAAACAATCTATCAAGCATTATTTCAACCTACATGACTACTTTTCCTAAAACTTTAAGTTACAGCAAGCTCATATACTTCAGCATCTGCCTCTCTGTATTCAGGTTAATGCATCATTAGAAGCCTGAAAATAGGATTTTCCCATATTGATTTTATTTAATATTTTCACTTCGTAAAGAAATCTACCAAATTATCTCATCTGTTTGACTATTGGTGTAAAAAAAAGATAGTAAGAGTCCTGAAAATATCACTAGTGAGTCAACTGGACACCTGCACATCATCTTATTAAAATAAAGAAAAAAAACCTCAAACCCCCACACATCACTAAGGTCTAACGCTTTGCTTTTTTTTTTTTTTTCCAATGCAGAAAAAGTGAATTAGATTTTCTGATATCCAGAAAAACATTTCATGTTGGATTATAAACACGTTCATTCAGATCGTATTTTGGTTTCAGAAAAGCCCACATCCCTTTGAAAGAGGAAGTAACCTACTAACTTACTTTCCAATACAATAGTTAAAGTAATTAATTTCAGAGTATTAACATGTTAATAATTCTTACTCATCTTGAGGTGTTGGGAAGGTAGTAATCTTATTATTAATATTCCTGTCTAAGTAAATGCAAATATGAGCAAAATTGAAGAACATGCATTAACAATACTAAAGCATCTAAAAGTTACAATAAGATTTCAAGGCAGAAAAGTGCCTGAACCTGTGGCAGTATCTCTTACTACAAAGTACTGCCAAATTCACGTGGTAGCCACTACAAGAAGAGGTCAGATCCTTGACTAACAAACAACAATTGAAGTTAATTTATGCAGAGACAATAAATATTACTTTTCATTCATTTATAGGATAGGAAATGTTAAATTCGGAAAAATAGATCAAAATGAAACTTGACGGTCACTAACTGTTAAAAATCATTAATCTGCTAAAAATCAAGAACTGGAAAATACTTTAAAAATACTTCTGCTACCAGTGTGGCTGAGAAAGATCTATAGATCCCACATGTTCTGATGTTATTTCTAAAATGAAACCTATTATCTGAAAAATGTTGACATGCATTTTATGTCTTTTATTTCTAACAAAAGTTGCTAAAAACTGTTCAGATTTAGGTTAAGAATCTACATGTTAAAAACAAACATGAAACGCATAACACTAATATCAGTGTCAAAGTGTTACCTATCATTTAAAGATTCCTTGGTTTTTTAACACAGGCCTTCCTAAACTTTAAGCAGCTTTCCAGTTTAAGTTTTGTCATGTTTATAATTAAGGTCACATGAAACTGCTTACGTGAAACAGGCAAACAAAAGAGACAGGAAGGCAGGAAACAATTTCAAGTTGAAAAGGGATAAAAGAGTTATGGCATAACATTGGTCACGGATTTCACTGTTCAGCAAAACAATAAATTTTTCAGATGAAGTTATAATGTGAATTATGTCATGGCCAGAAGACAAATGGTTTATTCTTACTGAATAATCTGTAAGTATTTAAACAAATGATGACTTTTTAGTAGAACCACAAATACCTTACTCCACTGATGCTCAAATTTCTTTGATGAAAACAAAAATTTAGAAAATATTTACATATGTACAAGTAATTACATAACAGCATTGTTTAGATATGAAAGTTAGAATTTTTATGTGGTATTTACTAACCTTCTTGGATGAAGAACAAAATCTTTAAATGTATATGGTCTCTCCATACTTGGATTTTCTGTCTGGAATAAGACAAGTTTTTTCACGAAAAAACTGTATCAAACACTTGAAGTTAAAGAAAATTATCAGAAATTTACAATGAGTTTCTTTAAAGGCCATATAACATTTTAGAATTTAAATTATAGGTTTAGGTTCAGTAATCCAAAGTAAAACCAGTGCTAATCTTAGTAATAAGACTAATTCCCCGGTTCAAGAAAAAAAAATTACCTTTCGGTGTATACATATATTACAGTTTCTAAAGCACAGGGAAAAAAAAACTGTTTACCCTGAAATCAAGAAATAGATTCCCAGTTTTCACATTTAAAAGATCTAACATAACTTTTTTTCCTCCCTCAGTATTTTTCAAATATTTTTACATAGAACATACATAAAAAGCCATTTCTAGCTTTAGGACTTGGGGATAAAACATAATCACAGAAGAATCCATTCTGAGAACATCTTTGTTCCAATTCACAAAAGTGAAGTTGCTCAACAGAAAGAAGCACAGAGGTAAACAGACATCATTTTATAACTATACATCCCAGGTACAGGCAGAGAAATATACATGAGGGATCATTAAAGAAAACAAAGATATTTATTTTTCTGGTTAACATAAATATTTATAATCCACCTGAAGTTCTGCAATTCTTACAGAAACATTTGATTTTTACAATACCATATGTTTAGGAACATTTGTAAATCTTTTTTGAGGGTTTTTTTTTTTTCCTTTTTTAGCTGTTCGTAAATTCTGGGGAGTACCTCTAGGTTCTCGTTAATCAATACATTTTAACCGTTTCAAGAAGTACTGTATAATATGAGGAAAAACTTGCAATTGTTTTATTTGTAGGTCTTTTAATTAAGAACAATGGTACATGATGCAATCCTTGAAGGTTGAACTAATTCCATAATAGTATTTTCAAAAAAACTATCTAATGTGTGTCAACATTTGATTTGAAAGAAACAAAAAAATCCAGAATCTAAAGGTTAGACATTAAGTTAGAGATTTTAGAATTTTACTTGGAACTGTTGAGCTTTGTTACGAACCAGTCCTAAGATTAAGCTGACTAAATTTTACTGAACGTGATAACTATTACACCGAATCTCAGAAAGAAAAATGCTCTCTTGTATTTCAGACATTTCAGTGTAAGCTCTTATTAATACAATTTAGAAATACCACACTCAAGTTGAAGTGTTCTACCTTCACTGAATTAAAATGCAGATCTTCAATCCTGTAACGATGTATGTGTGACACTGGTGTTATCTGCAAGATCAGGTTCTATATTTATGAAATGAATTGTCTTACAACTAAGGTAAGTACTTCTTTGAAATTAAAATGGAATTAAGCTTGGGTTTTGGTTTTGTGGGTTTTGGGGTTCCCCCTCCCAACATTACATTATTTCTAAACACACACACACTAAGACACTGTGGAAATACATCACAGAGGATAGAAAAAGAAAGATGATATCTTCTTAATCTAAGTTTTATAATTATTTTTCTGACTTTCCAAAAACAAGAGTTGCCTTAGATTCAATGCTAGATTACACTTGGATTAATACATTTTTGTTTTGGAAAGAGCAAATCCACATCTGCCAACTATTCTTACCTTGCAGATGATTTACCCTTTTTACATGTCCCTGATTACTAGCTCTTTTTAGTTATGAACAGTCTGCATTTGCATAGTATCAAGCAAGACCAAAACTGCATGTAATAAAGAATTTATACACTGATTTTATTTATCCAAGATATATTTACTTATGTAAACAAAAGACTCAAAAAAGCCACCTATATTTGGGCCAATAAAGTACAATGGATTTAGATGGCAAGACCAAGTAATTAAGAACAAGGAACCAGGAAGACGGAAACAAAGTGGAGACAGGAAAAAGTCAATGTTTGAGGAAGGTAAGAAAATAGCCATGAAAATACTCAAGTGAGGCTCTATAAACTAGTTCTCATTTATAGATTAGCATTAGTTCTATGCTAAAAAAAGAAAGGAAATGCACCAATATCTCCAAAAGACTCCAGATATTGCTGTCCAGCTTATTAGCGAGAAGTGAAAACAGGCAGTCTTCTCCAGAAGGACATTATGGCCAGTCTTTCCAACCCACCTGACTGAGGGAGAGGAGTTAGGGTGCATCCCAGTTACAGTGGGAAACGGGACGTATCTGTAACTACTCCTGACACGGTTCTTACCAGAATGAAAGAACAACTGCTCTTGGAAAAGTTTTGCCATGGTTGTTATCTTGTCTTTAAAGCAGTTGCTGATAAATCTGTTAGTATTTGCTAATGTTTTGAGACCTCAGAAGAAAATGAAAAGGCTTACTTATTTCAATGTTCTTGGTGATATTTCTTTAAAATTAACAATGTGCTTTGCAAAAGGAATTCAAAACCAAAAACTTAATAAAAAAAAGTATGAAGCAACACTAGCTCTATTTCCCACTTACCCTCTTCTGTATCTGTTTATGGGAATAAGGAATATTAGAAGTAAATCTGTAGACTTTAAAGAAAATATTTTAAGAAATATGACAATAATTACAATTTCTTCTTGTCTCTAACACTGTTTCAAACCTTGCATTTTTATTCTTCAAAAAGCTAAAAGCACTCCTAACTCTTATAGCAGCAGAAACCAATATCTAAACACAAGGTAACTTACATTTTTTTAATAAATATCAGCACTAAAAAAACCCCAACAAATCCACAAAAGAAAACCAAACAAAAAACCCACAGAGCAGGAGAATTTAATCACTTCTATTATCAGTACGGTTAACTTCCTTCGATGACTAATACAGTTGCATACAGAATCACTTTTCCCTCTCACAGTCTTAAAACAAAACCAAACAAATAAAAAATACAAACCGGTAGCTGATAAAGAGGAATATCCACTTGCCCAAGAAAATCATCTCGAGTCTACAGAAAATAAAAACAAACAAAAAACAAAGTTTACAGTTGCAAAGTGCTTTAAAAAACATTGTTCCAAACCCCTGATAGCATAGTAACACTTTCTAAGAATTTGAAGACGCTCTTGAATTATAGACAATAAAACTTATTCTGTATAGAACGAGTTCTGGTTAACCCAACACTCAGAGCCCTTGGACAGTTCTGCCTTCCTCAAAATAAATGAAGTTTGAGGGAGCTGGGGGTGGAGATTTAGATTGTTTTGTAAATCGTATAGACTAATGCTAATCAAACAGGAGAGAGTTGTTCAGCATCAGGACTGAGATTGTCAGCTTCTCCAGCAGAAACATCATCTTAAAGGCAGAGAGTAAAGACACTTTTTCCTCTTACTTGTTTCAGTAAAATAATTGTCTTGGTATATGCTTAAGCAACTAAACATTCATCACAGATTAACACAGAGCTAAAGACCTTCCTCCTAGGAGCGCCTGACAATTTCTATAAGCCTAGGCAGCTGTTTAAAACAGGCATATATAAACATTTTTTTTCCTTTTCAAAATAATACAGCTATTATAAAAAATAAGATGAAGTAAAAATAAGTTTCATCTGTGGTAAGTGCTTTGGAAGTTCCAGCAATTCCAGCGGTCCCAAGCCTGACAGCAGGAGCTTCAAATTCAGCATCTCCCCTACCCCCTGCCTGACATTCCTGTTGACATCTGAAAATGTGCTAAAATTCATTATATCTATTAAAAATACCATTTGCCTATGCACATTGCAGAGTTTAGTTTTTGAACAACTAAAATCTGAAAGATTCTGCCCTGACTTGCATGTCTTGACTGTCCAACTACGACCAGACTATGAATGCAGCAACTTTGCAGCTGGATTCCCTCCAGCCTACGCTGTAATACCAGGGGAAGGAACTGATAATACATGGTATCGCTGTATAGTTTACTTTTGATCATTCGTTTTGGCTGCCAAAGAAATTAAGATTTTAGTAGTTTACGTAGGTAATTTCAGTATTCACCAATAGTCATCACCAACAGTCAAAGTACTTTACTTGACTTCTTACTGGATTATTGGAGCATATGCTGAGTTGTTTCAAGTTCATGATTTGAAAGCCTTTGCAAACCTCCACAAAAGCAGGAAAAAGTTTTATATGGGTCATTTAACATGAAGACACATCACTGACTGTGTGCAGGGCATGAAATTTTTAAAAGGTATGTATAAGCCTATGGCATTTTTCAAAAATCTACAGTATAACAAGACTACGCTTTTTGCATAGACAGAGTAAGGAACTGTGAAAGTCTTTAACAGTGTAGCCTGTGCACCTCTGGATTTCTAGTCTTCCTGATTTTTCCAGATAACAAGAGATTTGGTGCCTATTCTTTCCTAAATCTGTTGGTGTACCACAAGCTTTTATTCAAACTCATCACCCGAGGATTTTGACGGCCTTCTTCCGTAAGACTTTCCACTATGATGCTCTGCATCTTGCTGACATCTATTCCCTTCACCTCAGGGCAAAGCCGTGTGTTTCACCGTTCTTCTAGCATGACTGTATTTTTAATTTTCAATGCCAATGTTTTACAGTATTAAAACTCCAGCCCAATTTTACTCATTTTGTGTCCCATTGATGGCATTCTCCATTCAAACAGTTCTGACATTAAAGGCTATAGGTATTTCTTGAAGCAGTTCTTTCTTCCTTAATAATTCTGGTACCTTTTTTCTTTAGCTCTGTTGTCCTAAGTTTGTCCATTTCATCTTTAAATCATACATGTATATGGAGAACCAGTGCCTCACATTTGTATAAGCTCTAATTTTTTACACCTCCAAAAAGCACAACTAGACTGCAGAGCTTGTCATAGATTATAACATGCTAGAAACCTAGAGATACATAACTTTAAATTGAATTTGTACTGTGTATGTCTTATATTCAGATTTGAAGTGGCGGGAGTGGAAATAAAAATAAAACACCAACCTTTTTAGTTCACAAACTGGTTTGACATAGAAAGCTACAACAGGTTTCCATATCTGAAGAGTCTGAAGCTTCCCTGAACTACTGAAGGAAAACTTTCAGCTTATAGACCACAAGCTTCTGGAAAAATATAGCTATCATTTTTGCCTATGAGGTTGTGTTTTGTTTTTGGTTTTTTTTTTTTTAAATGGCATGGCACATACCTTAGACATGTTAAAAGGCTTAGTATTTGTAAAGTTCTTGGCAATCCTCAAGTGGAACATGCCTTTCAAATAAATTACTGGAAAGTGGGACAAAAGTCTGCTGTATTTTAGAAAACCTCAAAACATTGTGTTTGTTAGCAGCATTATTTTAGTACAGGCTCCTGTTATTTACTTCATTATTCTGCTGTCTCTCCTGCTATTTTTAGCAGAGCTAGCCTCGATAACCAACCTCTAACAGTACTTTCTCCTCCAGCCAGAGAGTAAAATCCTCCAGTGGAGATTTTTGTTGACCTCCAAACAACTAATACATAGATCAGATAGCAGGAATACTCTTTAGCAGTGTGCCTCACTATGACAAGCTGACTAACTGCCTTCAAAGAAGTGCCAAAGAAGCTTTGAAACAGACATCACACACATTAACAATTAAATGTCAATGGAGTTGAAACTGGATCTCTGTTTCATGACAGCAGGCATCCCAGTTTTTTCAAGACAGACAAATGGGTCAGTTGTTCTTGTCAACTTCTAATTTCTTAACAGCCAGAGAACTCAAACTTTCTGCTTGCCAAACCATAAGTGCATAAACCTCAATTAATGATATAGTACACTAACAAAGAGGCCTTTTATTTTACTGATTCATTGGTTTAGTCTATAGAAAGTTATTAAAAACATGTGAGGACAGACAGCTGCTGTATACAATACATTTAAAGAACTCTAGTGCAATGCCAAAGCGAGTGCTCAAAGAGGAAAAGCACTGAAAGAAAGTAATCCAGTCCAAAACTAATTTTCATCTATTTTATGAATACATACTTAATAAGCCTTAACAGTTAAGATTTTGGATTTTTTCTACAATTCCCATCATTAGTTGGATAGAAGTAGATTTTAAACAGACACTTTTATCTGAGTCACACACTTAAGAGCAGTACTGAGAACATTAACCATAATTTATCAGGTTTGAAGACAGTTAACTGAATCTAACGCCTTTCTTAATTACTTGATTCACCACAGTGCCTTTTGAAACAGCTCTTGTAAAAGACCAGGGTGTTGAAATAACAGGTATTTTCTCTACCAACTTTTGTGACTAATTTTTGTTGGTGTTAGTGCATGAATTAGAACCTAAGTATATTCCCAGTCTTTTTCTGACTAAACAGACAGCTAGTTGTGCATAAGTCGGTCTTTGCACAGAAATCTACAGCTGTACGGCAAAATGAGAAAGCACACAGATTTTATTGGAGGGAATATAAAGTATCAATTCAAATTGAAAAAACAAACAGTGATCTGGACTATCGCTGCTTAAGAAAACAAGAGCTCAATAGATCCCTTATAAAACCAACATTCTTCTTGCTTAAACACCCAAACATCAACATTAGTTACAAGCTTGATGAGAATGAAAAAAAAAAAAAAACCAACCCCAAACACTTTCCTGAGCTCCACTAGCAACTTCAAGTATTTTTCTTTTCATGCTGCACTGAGTGTATTATTTCGTTCTCTTGAACTCTAAATCAAGAAAAGTGAGCTTTTTTCCTTCCATAAAATACTGCCAGCATATGCTATTCATCATGGGAAAATAACAGTTTCAAAAAAGCAAAATTCAATTATCATGTTAACATCTTATAAAATTAATGAATTCTAAAAGTAGTGTTTTCTCTATCTTGCAAAGTGATACTTTGTTGCATGGAATTCATGAAAGTCCCAGTCTCTTGTATTTTTAAGGGGGAGAGGTAGATGGTGAAGAGATTTTTTTTAATGATATGTAGGCACTTCTTTTTAGTTGGCATCTATGATCAACTATCTATGATACTGAGATATAAGAACCTATCAGCATTTTCAAAATAGAGAAAATACGTACTGTTAGATCAATGGTTATTATGCAACATGTTTCTGCAGGACCTTCAGCCCTGCTGGCTGCTTCAACAGCAAGGTGTCAGCATAACATGCCTCAGCAGTTTTACCATCTGTTTAACAGACAGCATTTAGAAATGACACTGAAGTTATTTTCACTAATTCTCCCCCACTTCCAAAGATATTTTCAGAGAACCGCTTCTCCAAAAGACCAGAGTAAAAGTGTCATCTGTTTCTCCATTTATAGCTTACACTTTTTATATAGAACCAATATCTTTACAGATAGCTTCCTTAAAAGTTTGTAGTTAGTCTACAGTAATTTTATAAACAACATTCGTATATTACTCCACTCAATGTTTGCTACTTTGAGAACTTGTGCTAGAAGTTCATTAACAAAGCAATTTAAGACAACTTTTTTTTTTTCCATACAAGAACTCATTTTCACATAGGTCACAGGAAGACAAAAAGTCATCTAATATAACCGAAGCATACTTAAGCACAATATAAACAGAGAACAAGTCAAAAGTTAGTAACGCGTATGTTTTATTCATCAGAAATTTGAGTTCCTTTGGTTTTATGGACAGATGTGCCAAATAAGCTACCATATAAAAAGCAGGAATATTACATTTTATGAAAAATCAAAATCCAATCCAGATTTGGCCTCCTATGTTAAACCAGCCAACGCTCAAAAAAAAAAAAAAATTCAGAAAACAGTACCAAATATTTAATTAGGTACTATTTCAACAAGCCATTCCTGACATCAAGTCAGTTAACTTCACAGTAGTAAAAAACCATAAAACTTTTGCATCTATTTGTGGAAGCTTTTGTGCCAAATCTTAAGACTTCAAATAAAGTTTGAAAAACAAACTCTTGTCGTAACAATTCCAGGTGCACTTCTACCATCACCAATTAACAATATAAAGCTTAAAACACTCAAAAAATTTAAAACCCTATCAAACGTTAAACTGCACGTGTAATTTGCTCCCTGAAATGAGCAACAG